TCAGATAATGGGGATAGCCTTCTTGGCATATGCTCAGAACACGGTCTGTTCCTCGTTAGCACGAACTTCAGATACCCACGTCACCTCGCCACTTGGCGTAACCCCTCATCGGCACAGATGTGGAGCCAGATTTATCATATAGCTACAAGCTATAAATGGAGAGGATGTGTGAAAGACTGCCGTTCGTATTAGTCTACCTGATTCCAGTCAGTAGCCGACTGTGCGCCGTACGTCTCAAAGGTTCAGCGCGGGTCAACAGTTGCAGAACGAAGCGTCGATATCTATTCGTCGTAGCGGTGTATGCACCGATGGATTGCAGTACACCTGAAATCAAGGATGATTTCTACAAGGACCTTTCTCGATTCTCCAAAACGTTCGATCAACGGACATCGTGGTAATCGCCGGAGACTTCAATGCCCAAGTGGGTTCCATAGACGAATCAGAGAGACTTCTTGGTGGACCACTCGCAATCCCAGACAATCGGACGGACAACGGCGATCGCCTACTTCAACTCTGTGCCCACCACGGACTGTTTTTGTCAAGCACGAACTTCTCGCACAAGAAACGTTACCGTCTTACATGGAAACCGCCGGTCAACGGTTCTATTGGGCATCGAGGTGTATTGGACATCTTGGACGTTTGACCTCGTCCGAAGGGCGTATGATCCGATAAACCGGACACCGGCCCCTAATGGATTGCGGACTCTGAGTGCCGTCCTGTTGTTTTGCAGGTCAGGCTTTCTAGTCAAAGGCTTCGGGTGGGGACCCCGAGATTATCCCCCTTCTTCGGCCAGGGCAACCGGGAAGTAACATGCCCACACAACTTATGAAACACACATTATACATTTCCGAATTTTTGGCTAACTAACTATGCGCTCTTTGACCGAGGTGTTGGCGGTCGGCTCCACAGATTTCCAAGTTACCACACCAACAGATCACACTCTTTCCCTTCCTCAATTATTGAACTTTCCTATTTTCGGTTTACCGCCCATTATTTCGAGTCTCCAACAGTGTGTTGCTCAAGACCANGCATCCCGGTCGCAGATGAAGTTAGGGACTTTCAACGTTCGAACACTTATGCAAGTTGGGGCTCAAGGGACATTCAATTGCACACTGAAAACCCTTTCCATGGACGTTTGCTGCCTTACTGAGAC